GGGGGGGGGGGGGGGGGTGTAAGAGGTAAAGGAAGGCATCATAAAAGACCAGTTGGTGGCATATCAAAGAGGGTAAAAATAAGTGGTGCAGCGACTAATATGAATAATAATAGCAGAGCTGAGGAAACATGGCAGTGGGTGAGATACTAAGAAATGTGTTTGCATCCACTTCTACCTGAGCAGAATTCTGCTTCCTCTCAAACAAGACAAAACGTGAAATCTAACCACACTTAAATCTATACATTCACGCTCCTTTGTGCTCCTATAGAGCAAAGGTTGGCAGAATAACGGGTACGTAAATCAAAATGTGAGGCAGAATGTTTTCACTGAATTCTACCACAATGACTCGCACTCTCGACTGCCAAGAAAACCTCAAATGGTCGACATAATTTTCTCACGCCGACAGGCATTAAAACACGTGTAAACATGCCGGACACCAGACAGCTGCATGTGGCGAGCACTCCAACCGGCCACTGGATAAAAGTGGGCGAGGAGGGCCACCGAGAGGAAAGCAGCTGCAGATGTGTAAAGAGAGAAATGTTGTGCAAAGCTGGCACTGCACCAAGAATGCACACAGCAGTCACAGGCCGTTAAGCGATGGAGTGCTACCAAACTGAAGACTACTAAGACTAATGACTGTGTTTACAAAATGTCATACAGACTTTGTAAAATGTCAATTTTACACAAAAATTGATCTCATCACGAGGGCAAATTGCCCTTAAGTTTCTCCACACCAAGCAAGTTAGGCACATATTGAGTTGAGTCGGTCATAACTTCATTACATCTTCAAACGGATTACATCTTCAGGAGACACTATGAATTCAGTACGACTTCAAACATTTGCTGAAATAATGCAGAGAAAACAGATCAGTTACCATTCTGGGCCGAAGTTAAGAGTCTCAGCAGTCATATTCCTCACGTCCACACAGAACTGAGTATCTGAGAGGAAAAACATATTAAAGTTTTAAATTCTAAAGAAAAAAAACATTTTTTTAAACAAAAGAGCAAATGTGCCTTTATCTGCCTTACCCTGTCCAGATGATCGGAGCAGGCTGGGCTGGGCTGGGCTGGACTGGACTGGGCTAGGGCTGGCTGGCTGGCTGGCTTTAGTTAGGCTTAGGTGACTAGAAGGCTGAGTGGTGCTTAAGCTGTGGTCACAGAGATCCCCAAACACACAGACACAAAGAGAATAGCTGCCAGTTTCAGGTGCTTGAGGAATACCAGGTTATCAGGTCCTAACTAGATAAGGAAGGCAGGGGTGGGTGGGGGGGGGGGGGGGGGGGTCGACTATAGTTTGGAGAATGGAAGCTCCTGCTACTCACAGCCGACAAGGGTTGATGAACATAAAAAAAGAAACAAAAAAAAGAACCTTGGAAATTAACGATGGAACAAAATAAAACACTCTTGCTAGTAATAATGTTTTTTTTCCTTCCTTTTTTTACAGCAGTTATATCTCACATTAAAGTTAAAAATATCGATTGATTCATCAAAAAAGTAACGCAGGAACAAAACAGCCAAAACACTGAAACAGGCTGCTGGAACAGCTGCCAAGAGCAGACGTGACTCCTCTTTTCTTTTCTTTTCTCCCTCTCTCCCTCCGTGCCCTTTCCTCTCGCTCCAACTGAAATGTGGATTGACGGAGACCCTCCAGGTAACTCCTTTATTTCCTGTCCTCCTCCCTTTGCACCACTGAAAATGAAGCAGAGATTGAGAGAGGTCATCAGAGAAACCATTAAAAGACAGGTGGAAAGAATAATGTTAGAGCTGTGCACTTAGTAAATTAGCTGTTTGTTAAGATGCATTTTCACAGCTTGGCAGTCCACCCGTATTGTGATAGGAAAACAAGTGTCATTTGATTTTCCAGAGCGTAGCCTTCACACACTATTTTCACAGCAAGCCTTGGACTCGCTGAAAGGTACCGGCGCAGTCCGTTACAGCGCACGGAGCTGGGAGAAACACACTGTGGTGTTCCCACACGGAATAAATGAAACTAGCAAACTATTTCGAGAGGAGCGCTCGATGGTGGCCCCGTGTTTCTGCTGCTCGCGGGACATTTTTCCAATCCAGAGAGTAGATTTCAGTGATGTTGTAAACCAGGCAGCTGTTTGGGGATAGTTGATAGTCGAAAGTGTCACGGCAGCTACACCGATATCCAGGCGACCACAATTCAACAGTTAATGCTCATAGATGGTTAGCGCGACACAAACATATTCCTAAACATTTACGTGACCACGCCATTTCAGAAATGTTAATAGAGCCGGGTGTACAGCTGGGTCTGGCTATTACCACTATTCACAACTTATACCAATGTTTACGCTAGGTAGATGTGGTCATTTTAAACCTAGACGTTACTCTACACATTTTTTGTTTTGTACCATCACGATTGTGTTAGTTTTCACATTCCAGATGCATGGAGCACTGCTCTGTATTAAGCGGCCAGCAGACCAGCCTGATCTCCACAAGCTGAATTCAAGATGTGCCATCATATGCAATGTCACAGATATTATGTTTCCCAAGCACCATCTAGCATCAGCTTAAGCAGTTGTTCAGAGCAATGTGTTCCAGGTTGTTGGGCTTTGTAGGCTGATCTAAGGAGCCGATCGGTAAAAAGGCATTTTAATTAAGACTGCCTTCAATCGAGCAAGATGTTAGGAGCACGATAGAACTTCATGAACACGATGAGTGAATCAGAAAATAGTCTGATCCATTAAGTCAACCATAAAACAAACTAAGCATGTGTTCACATTAATGTCTTTGTCCTTTAGATCTATATTGGGGGCCATAAATTCTGGTGACTTAAATAAGCAGATTTTAATCAGCTGTACCCAATTACAATCACATTGGAAATTGATTTTAAAAAAATAACCAATTGCTGAGGGTTGGATGATATTGTGGGATACAATGTGAGAGGATCAGAATTTTTTTTACAGTCAGTGATTTTGTCTACTGTTCATACAGACGTGTATTTAGTGCATTTGTATGTATTTAGTATCTCTGGCTGTTTGATTAACAGAACACATGCCATTTCAACAAGTTTCTTTCTGGTTGGAAGTAAAAACATATTGAGCATATTTTCTATATATTGCAGTGCTCTTATGAGGTGAATCAACAGTGTTTGTGACCTCGTACTTGTAATACTGTTTTTTTTTTTAGCATTGTGCACACCCCTGTGGAAAGTCCGCTGATATGTTGCACGAAGTGAAACAAGCTTTTGTTACAAAGTGTGGCGCGCGTTAGCATCACGTTATATCATCCTTTTGTAGGTGCACTATTTACGTTGGTCTTCTGCAACTTGTTAGGCCACACTGCACTCGGTTAACACTATGACCTTTAAAAAAAATCGAGTACAACATGATTACAGCAGAGTACTTTGACAGTCTACCTTCTGCGTAACTCCACAGATATTCACTACCATAACTAACAACATATATAAATAAAAATATACATGTTTAAGGCAACAGTTTGGAAATTGGATGCCGACAGGTTCAACTTACAGCAGTAACAAACTGTTAAATCTTATTTTGAATTTATCAGCTGGAGGTAAAGTTGGCCCTGTGTGTGTGTGAACTTAAAATATGTCAACCTCTACAGAAACCTAAAAAAATATAACTGTTATGAAGATAAATTGGGACAAAAGCCACCAAATGGGATTGTACTATTTCCCTCAAACCTCTGGATACCACAACTGTTTGATAAACTTATTTAGGCTACTGATGCAAATGGTTTAAGTATCTGGGAATTATTTAATGCTGGTAATCATACTTAAAAGGAAGTGTTTGGAAATGTCATGAGCATTGTGACACTTACATTTTGCAATCATTTGTCATTTAAAAAAAAGCAGCAAAACAAGAGAACATATGACATTATGATTACTATCAGGCACTTGATTTTAAAGTCATAAAAAATACGTATCAGCCTAGAGCAGCAACAATTAAGAATATTTAACATGAACCTTAACATCTGTAGACTGAATGCGGTTAGTATGGCTTCAAAGTATTTCATAACTTTACTCCGTCCGGTCTCCGGGCCACAACAGGCAAATAATAGCAATCTTTAGTGTCCAGCTCAAACTTTGTACCGAGGAAACTCAAGCAAGGTCACGCAGTAATAACGTCGCCTGCAGAACATGACATTTCTTATGCATTAGGACATTAGCAATTGTTATGCTCCTCAAAATGTGGCGGGATAACGACTTTAAGCTGCGAGGCCGACTGAAAAGCGACAATAACGCTGACATTCAATGTATACCAACTCAAACTTTAACACACTCAACAACTGTTTCGTCGTAAAGATGGCTAACGTATTGACAAAATTGCTCGAGTTGACGTTAGCTACCGTGAGTGGTTGCGAGCTACATTAGCGCACATCGTTAAGTTGTTCGTCTTTCAAGCTCATTACTGCAGATCTACGTGTAGGTAAAAGTACATAAATATATCCTTACAACGGTATACGGAACCCACAATACCATATTTCTGTTGCATAACAGAGATAGGTTAGCTAGCTTGCTACCTAACCTAGCACAAGCTATGAGTTAATCGTAAAGGCCTTGGCTCCTAGGTTCAAATGACACCCGATATGATGGCGGAGGGGGCGGAGTGTTCAGAGCAGACTCCCCGGCCTTCTCCGCCAATGTACGGACGACCACCTCCACTCCGTTGTCGGTGTTAAGCTAGGGCTAATGCGATGTAAACAAAACAAAATGGCAGAAACAACAACGCTTTAACCGTAAAAGGACTTAGTGCAAATGCATTTTTTCACGACAGATAAAACCAAACCATTCGAGCTGCTAGAGCCGAGGTTAGCATGTTAGCTTACGTTAGCCAGCTAGCTAGAAGACAAGCTGCAAAGAGGAACCGTGGCTTACCTTCAATGTTTATAGCTAACGTTACCAGACTGGTTGTCTGCACGGCGTGTCTACAGCCAATATATCGTATGCATTGGTCTCGTTAAACACTGTAAACGACAGAATCGTACTTTCAGAAAGTCGTGCTCTGTATTTTATTTATTATTTTTTCCCCTCTCCTCCAACGGTCGCTGCTGCGTATCAGTATGTCTGCTGGCTCCTAGTCGCTGCTCTTCTTGTTGTTTGTGTTTCGGAAACATGGCCGTCCGTGTGATACCACGTGACTGGCCATTGACAAGCGGCTAACCAATGTTGTAGCAGGGTAAACACACCCCTATTTAACAGCCTGGACACTGTTAAGAGTACACTTTGCAAGGTATTTTTTAAATGCAGAGCGTCTAATGATGCGTTTAATCAGCCAGTAAGCTGAGCAGCGAGGCCAACTTTAGCACAAGATTGTGTTTTAGGCATAAACAGCCAGTTGAATACACATTCGCGAGGCAGGAATAACAAAATAACTTGAGACAAAGTTGTTACATGAACTTTACAGCCAATAGCATCATGCTTGAAATGCATACTGATATATTTTGAGTTATTAGCTATCAATACCCTTGAAAGTGAACTGAGTGACTAGCAGAACATGTTGAGTAGCAATGTCGAACTGAGCATGCGCGAGACTTTGTGGACGGCAATATAGGGTTTCGTCAGCAGAGGGCGCTGTTGATTAACAGTGGCAGTGTGTAAATAAACGGTAAATGATTTGGGACAGATACACATAGCCTGCTCCTTTGAAATGGGACCATTCACAATATTATAATGATACAATATTGTAAACATGCATGAAGGCTAAGTTTGAACTAATACTATATTTCATGCGCCCTCAACAAGGGGGTGAAAGTGGATGAGAAAAATATTTAGAACATGTGCCAAAAATATATATGTATATACTTTTTTAATAGGAACGGCTGTATTACCAAGCAGTTATTGTGTTATAAGGCATGCATAATAGGGTTGAAATTACTTATGTATGCGTGAAAATCCATTGTTCATTAGTAATTATCATACAACAAAGAGGGACAAGAACAATAACAACCAAAAAGGGATGATATATCACCAATTCAAAGTCACCTCTTATTGTTTTTTGTGTAAATATCAAGGTGTTAGTTATAATCAAGTGTATATCAACACTTTTTTTTTAAAGGAAATACAAGAAGACTACTTTAATAGGTAAGAAAGCATGCAGAAATAAATACAGAACAAAGGTGAAAAAAACGCTAATTTAGATGTTTACCACATTACCACATTTATTTTCATATGAGAATCAGTCGTATCCTTGCATACAGGTCACTCCAGGTCTGTCAAACCATGAAAGACTACACTTAATGTTATTATAGCTCACCCTTGCTTCCCATCGTCAGGCTGCTGCGGGACGAGTGGGACACACTCCATCTTATAGGAGAAATACAAGATGGAAAAGTTGCCGTGATTCATAGGACACTTGGAGGTGAAGAGCCCTGACTGAATTGGTGGCATTGGCTCGGTCATACACCCGTAGCCAAAAGTTTTGAGAATGACACAAAGTATTGGTTTTCACAAAGTTTGCTGCTTCAGTGTTTTTAGATATTTTTGTCCGATGTTACTATGGTATACTGAAGTATAATTACAAGCATTTCATAAGTGTCAAAGGCTTTTATTGACAATTACAGGATGTTTTGGTATCCTTCTTTATTCAGGGCTGTGTTCTTATGCAAAATTGTGAGTGAGCCCACTCCCTTGGCTGAGAAGCAACCCCACACATGAATGGTCTCAGGATGCAATCCCCAAACAATTGGAAAGGGGATTGATCAGAGAAAATGACTTTACCCCTCAGCAGTCCAATCCCTGTACCTTTTGCAGAATATCAGTCTGTCCCTGATGTTTTTCCTGGAGAGAAGTGGCTTCTTTGCTGCCCTTCTTGACACCAGGCCATCCTCCAAAAGTCTTCGCCTCACTGTGTGTGCAGATGCACTCACACCTGCCTGCTGCCATTCCTGAGCAAGCTCTGCACTGGTGGTGCCCCGATCCCGCAGCTGAATCAACTTTAGGAGACGGTCCTGGCGCTTGCTGGACTTGTTGGGGGCCCTGAAGCCTTCTTCACAACAATTGAACCTCTCTTCTTGAAGTTCTTGATGATCCAATAAATGGTTGATTTAGCTGCAATCTTACTAGCAGAGGCCTGTGCAGAGATGCATGGCTGCACACACATTGCAGGAGCAGATAAATCAACCGTGCAGCCAATAGATCCACCCTGAGCTGCTGCAGCTTTGCATACCGAGTGTCTGTTCAACTGTCATTACACTTCACCAGATTGTGACGGTAACACAAATGCTCAATTACAAATCAGCCATTCACTCATCACCACATGGAATTTCTTCCCCCGCAGAGATGTGAGACAGGACATGTCCCCTCCACAATTTTTGTACCATTTTCATTGACTCCAGTCGTGTGGCGATGCATCCGTTTTGCACCTGCGTCCTGTCCGTCTCCCTGCTGACGGCGTGCCCCCTGGTGAGCGCCAGTGTGTCGAACAGCTTCAAAGACTGCAGCCATTTCTTCTACATGCAGACACCACCTGCAGGGATGAAGGGAGCTGACCTGAGGAGGGTCTGCCAGAAGTACGCAGACAAACTGTGCTACGCCACATTGTATGACAGCAGTCGCCGCCTCCCCCTCTATTCAGCTTACATCTTTAAGAAGTCTGATGGGAAGAGGAGGATGGACACACCGTGGATGTACGAGCCACAGGTAGAGTATAATGTATTCGTTTTAATTATCACTTTGTGTTAAGCGAGAAACTGACTTTTCTTTTTTTGATAATATTGCCAATAACAAGATTAACTGTAGTACAATCCCTGTTTGTATTTCACTCCAGCTGCTTTGCAGTAAAGATCAGTGTCAGTATGCATGTTATTAAAGACCCAACAGCACAAACAGAAGTATTGGTGACATCACCAGATGAATTTGGGACTACTGCTTGCTGCCATTTGGCCAGTTACTGGTGGCAGAATTTGGTAAAGAACACAATGCCTGCATGGAGTTAATGCCGGACAAACATGGAGGAATTTCCACCTGCCAATCCCCCCAAACATATCCCCAAACATACTTGTCTTTCAAGGAATAGTTACAGATAAACAACGAGGAAAAAGTATTTTTAGAAAACGTTTACAGAAAAATGATTTCAGCACAAAGACAGCTAGCCTACGTGTACAAAAACATACACACTGAGACACTGAGAACACATGAGATCTTCTCATCTAACTCTTGGCAAGAAAGTTAATAAGCTCATCCTCAAAACTACTCCTTTTTTATAAACACTAATTGGATAATTATCGTTTCAGCAGTTAATAAAACGAACCAATCATTATTCATATTCGATTTGTGTAAGAAGTTGAAACTTTTTGAGTGGAATCGTATTTCAGTCAGATTAGATTAGTGGAACTGCATTTTAGTGTCTTAACCTTTGTAAAACAGTCACTTTGAAAATGATAAACACCACGTTCCTTTCATTTCCTTTTCCCTACAGTTGGTTTCAGATGATGAGAGTGGCAACATGAAAGAGCTTCCCCTTACTGAGGACACCCCACCTCTGATTGAGGACAGCCAGGCCGTGTTGGAGGACTACACAGATGCTGTAGAATATAAACGTGGCCCACTGAATCCTGACCTGCACCAATCAGAGCCCGATGACAAGTCCTCCACATATACTCTGACCAATGTAGTCCCACTAATCACACACTTCCTGGACACTTCCTGGAACCCATACTTGGACATCATCCGCCGCCGCCTCAACAACTTCTGCCACGGCAAATCTTTCATGGTGACAGGGGTGACCGTCTCTGGGGGGACCCTCCGGCGAGATAACAGGGACCGCCTGGCAATCCCAAAACACCTATGGTTGGCTTACTGCTGCCCACGGTTCGACCACAACTCTCCTTACGAGGTGAGGTTCATGTTCCCTGGTTATGGGGGCTATGCACTGAATGAACAGACTGACCACAGTGTGGTGGAAGTCCCTCTGAAGACTCTGGAGAGCTTCCTGAAGAGCCAGACAGATGTAGACATGACTATTTTCTACAAGGGTTGTTTGTCAGAAAGCACCTTCAGGAAGAAGAGAGACCTGACCAGTGTTTCACTATGACGGGCTGCACAGTCGAGGATGAAGCCTACCTACTGTACAAACAGGACTAACTCAAGTTGAGGCAGTGTTAAAGGTGCTGAATTCGCAAATTACAACAGCAAACTATTTGCCAAGTAAAGATTTAGTGGCGTAATGTCGTCCTGAACAGAGAATGAAGTCGCTCTTCCTCTGTGTGTGCGTTGTAGTCCGAGCTTTGCTTTGTTGACATACTTACCGCTGAATTAAAATGGGAATTATATTAAGGAGGGAAAAAATAATTTCATGACTAACGTGGCTCTTGATTTGGCAGGTTTGGATTCAGATTAATTGAATGGACCATGGTACAGTTGACCATTTAGCATCAACAAAGCAAATTGTGTGTAAATGCACATTAAAAGGTGCGCACTACAACCACACGTCCATGAAGTCAGGGGATCTATGAGAAACAAGAAAATAAAAATAAAAGCAGCAGTACGACAGGTATCCTGAATTGACTGTCAAATACCAACCAATCCCTAAGAACTCTACATCCTACATTTCCCATCATGCAACTCTAATCCATGTGTATTTCAAAAGAGAAACAACTCCACCACATGTTGGCTAAATCAGATTAGGCCTTAGTCTAGGTAATTTGCCTGTACTGTAGATATGGCAGTGCTGAACAAATTTTAAAATAAGACAATACTATCTATGACAAGTATTTACTATCTTTAACACAAGTGAGGAATAGTGTGTGTGGAAAAGTGTGCTAAATCAAACAGGCAAGAGCCAAAACATTTTCTTTATGGGGAGTTTAGCTCATATGCTTGAACATGAATGAACAGTGAATGCAATAAATGATGTAAGAATTTTCTGGCCCTCAGTAGTCCACCATACCCTGCACCTTCATGCATGACATTGGAGAGTGTTTAAAATATGTTGGTTAAGTGACAGTTCTGTTATGTATAAATTCTATTTAGAACAGGCTATAATTCAGAAATTTTACTGTGGATATGCTTTTACTATATTTGCTTAAGTTGTATATATTGATTACTGACAATGTTTGAGATGAATGACACATCTGTAAAAAAAAAAAAAGACATGAATAAAATAAAATTTAAAAAACAGTTGCAAACATGCATAATATGATATGTGGTTCAGAGTGCACTGCCTATGGATAGTGTTCCCCAGTCAATTTCATGTCACTTATCCCTATTTCGTTGTGAAATCCTCCTGTATTAGTAACTCTGACAACTAATCTGTAAAATAATGTTACTAATTAATTTCTCCAGATGTCTTTATAGTTACATTGCATGTTGTACTTTTTGGGGAGGACTTCATTTGAAATGTGTAACCCAAAAGCTTTTATAACAGGCCACAGAGACGAGAACCTTTGGACAGGTTTATACCCCTCTAACCAATTTAACGGCTACACAATGGCTTCACTGTTGCAGTTTAGTCAAATGCTATGTGGGGCCAGCTGAACCCTGATAAACACACCAGTCCAGCTCAGTGGACAACACCTCCACCTACACCCTGGATACTGATTCTCAACACACTCGAGGCTGCTGTATTTACAAGGCGTTTGCTCCCAGCTCAATAACATCTGCCAAGGCACAGTGAACTCAAGAATAAGTTGCTGCACTCCAATATAAGCTGTCCTTATATCCTATTCCCTAAATTAAAATATAGACATACTGCGTATTCCAGTATTTATTGAAGCCAGAACACATTTACAATGAAATATTGAAGTCAAACATTAAAAATAATGTAATTCAGCATGATATACATCATAATCTTTGAAAAGCCTTAGAACTTGAGTCGAATTTGAAATATTTATAAGTTGTGGTTGACTAGTAATATGACCTTCCCCCCCATGAGAAAAACGCGGATGTCTCTGCTGTAGGCCAGTGATTCTTAACCATGGGGCCGCGGACCACGATGGGGCCGCGAACTTCACCTAGAGGGCCGCAAAAAACTTTCAGTTTTGCACCTGTGGCCCGCGGGACCGCATAGGTTATCAATTGAAGACACCAGAGATATTACTGTTCTCCATGAGACGCTCAGTTACAATATAGCTTCCCACCACCTGGTGGCGGTAATGCGTCAGTCAGTCGTTTAACAAGCTCCAATAAGCAGAAGAAGACACTCAGCTAGCCGCTAGCCCAGGCATGGGCAAACTACGGCCGTTGGGCTTTTTAATCCGGCCCGTCAAATATTGGTACAAAATTGTCCAAACTATAATAAAGACCAGACCTGGGCAGTATACCGGTTTTAATTTACCGTATGATATGAATTCTTCACGCACCATTATACCAGTACATAGCCAAAACAACTTCTGTCTGCTTTCAACATGCAGCTAAATGTATTCTTTGCTGCTAATGCACAGCGGTCAGTGCTCGTTGTCTTATAGGGTTAGGGTTAGGGTTAGGGAACCCTAGTCATGGTCATAACACAACAATTAACAACCCACAACTAATGCTCTTTAACAGAGAAAAACACAACAGCACACAACAGTCTGTGACACATAAACAATTTGTAACAATAATAATTGTACATTTATAAAATTTCACTGCCGAACTGCATGCTGGGTACAGCTCGCGAGCGAGCCTGCTTGCTAGCACAACAGTCTGCTAACAGCTAGCTCCAGTAACGTTACATTAAAGAACAGAGCAGAGCATGCAAGATGAACATAGACAGACCGGAGCAGTCTTACATCAGTGTTACATCATATAATGAATCATAAACATTACACGATTTAACCACTAGAGGGCAGCAGT